GGGGGAGCCCGCCCGCCTGGCGGGCCGAGGGCGGCCGCGGAGCCGCTCCCGAGAGCGGCGCGAGGCCGCGGCGTCCGGCGAGCGGGGCGAGGGCGCTGATTCGGGCGCGAGGGGTAGGGGTGGGGCCTAAACCCGTGGTGCCTCCTGGGCAGGCAGCGGCCCTTTAGGCTTGCCTAAGGGGTGCCGTTGTCCCCGTGCGGCTCTTGGTTGCCCTGGTGCTCCCAGTTGTCGTGCGGGTCCAGGTTTCATCGCGGGTTTGGGTGCCTCCCCCTGCCCAGAGCGGGGGCTGTGCGACGCACGCCGTCCGCCGAGGGGGGACCATCATCATCAGCAGCAGCACCATCATCATCAGTATCAGCATCATCGTCGTCAACAGCATCATCCGCATCATCATCATCATCATCAGAATCCTCATCATCATCATCAGTAGCATCAGCATCAGCATCAGCATCACTAGCATCATCAGCATAAGCATCATCGGCATCATCATCATCATCAGCAGCAGCATCGTCAACAGCAGCATCAGCATCGTCAGCAGCATCATAATCGTCAGCATCAGCAGCATCAGCATCAGCATCAGCATCAGCATCATCATCATCATCAGCCTGATCATCATTGGCATCGTCAGCATCATCATCAGCATCAGCATCGTCGTCATCGTCGGCATCATCAGGATAGGCAGCATCAGCAGCATCAGCATCTGCATCGCCGCCAACAGCATCATCATCATCAGCACAATCAGCAACATCAGCATCATCGTCGTCGCCCGTATCAGCAGCATCATCAGAAGCATCGTCATCGTATTCAGCATCGCCATCATCAGCATCAGCGTCATCATCGTCATCATCATCCGCACCAGCATCATCAGCATCATCAGCATCATCATCAACATCAGCAACAACATCATCGTCATGAGTCGCATCATCCGCATCACCAGAATCAGCATCATCATCAGCAGCATCACCGTCATCATCAGCATCAGCATCATCATCAGCATCCCCAGCATCGTCGACGGTATCAGCATCAGTATCATCATCAGCAGCATCATCAACATCATGATGATGGTCATCATCAGCAACAGCATCAACAACATCATCCTCATCAGCAGCAGCAGCATCAGCATCAGCATCAGCCGCAAAAGCAGCAACATCACGATCCGCCTCCTCCTCATCCCTCCCCATCAGTATCATCATCATCCTCCTCCTCCGCCTCCTCCTCCTCCTCCCCCTCCTTCTCCTCCTGATCCTCCCCCATCCTCCTCCTCCTCATCCTTCCCCGCCTCATCCTCATCCTCCTCCATGTCCATATTCATCGCATCCGCCTCCATCTCAATATACATATCCTCCCGCTGCCCCCCCTCATCCTCCTCATCCTCCTCCTCCTCCTCCTCCTCATCCTCATCCTCCTCATCCGCCTCAGCATCATCCGCCTCGTCATCCGTCTCAATACCCATATGCATCTACGCCTCCATCTCACTCCACATCTACGTCTACAGATGTATATCATCCGCCTCCTCCCCCACCTCCATCTGCATATACATGTCCATCTCCGCCGCCTCCTCCTCCTCCTCATCCCCCTCCTCGTCCTCCCCCTCCTCCTCCCCCTCCCCCTCCCCCATCCACCTCCTCCTCCTCCTCCGCCTTCCCCTCCCCCTTCTCATCCCCCTTCTCCTCCTCCTCCTCCCCCCTCCCCCTCCTCCTCCTCCTCCGCCTCCCTGTCGTCCCCCTCCTCCTCCTCCTCCTCCTCCTTCCTCCTCCTCCTCCTCCTCCTCTCCTCCCCTCCCTCCTCCTCCTCCTCCTCCTCCTCCTCCTCTCCTCCTCCTCCTCCTCCTCCTCCTCCTCCCTCCCCCCCCCCCCCCCTCTTCCTCCTGCGGCGGCCGCGTGTCTGCCGCGCGCCGGGAGCACATTGATCGGGGGCCGGCGCAACCCCCCCAACCCAGGACAAGCACGCCGCTCAGCGGCGAGCAAGCCCCCGAGCCGAGGGGGCGCCCCGACCGGAGCCTCTACCTCGCACACACGGGAGCACGGCGGCGACGCCCAGCAAGGCGTAGCCGAGTGCGAGCGCCGGTCGCCCGCCCCCGGCGCCGCCCGCAGCTCCGCGCGCGCCCAGCCGCCGTCGGACCCCAGTGGCCCGTCGCCCCGGGCCCCGCGGCCGCGGCCCACCCAGTTCCCCCGGCGGGGCAGCAGCGGCAGCAGCGCTGCGCTGCCAGCGCCCCTCTGAGCCGCACGGGCGGCCGCCCAGCGCCGGCGCCGCCGGCGCCGCCGCCGCGCCGCAGTTGCCCAGCCGCCTCGGCGCGCGCCCAGCGCCCGCGGAGCAGCGCCCGAGCCCCAACTGCAGCGGCGCGCCCGCCAGCCGCTCGGCGCGCGCCCCCAGCGCCAGCCGCGCAGCTCAGCTGGGGCCGCTCCCCCGCGCTCAGCTCGCGCGCGCGCGGCGGGCCGCCGGCTCGGCGCCGCCTGCCCCGCGGCGCGTCACCCCGCGCGCGGCCAGGCAGGCGGAGCGGAAGGCCTCCGCGCTCCCGCGCTGCAGCGTCGCCGCGAGGCTCTGGCGAGCCGCCGCCAGCACGGCGGCGTCGCCGCGCGCCCAAGTGCGGAGGAGCGCCTGCGCCTCCGCCCCAGCGCGCCCCAGCGCCTCCAGCGCGAAGGCCGTGAGGGCCGGGCCCGGGTAGCGCCTGTGTTTGCGCTCCTCCGCGGCTGCCGCGGCCGCGCCGTCCCGGACGGCTCGGCCCCGGCCCGCCGGCGTGTCTGCGCCCAGGGCGGCGTCCGTGACCACCACGTCGACGCAGGACACGCCGGCAGCGGGGTCGGTGAAGACCACGTCGAGGCGGGCTGCCTCGACAGAGCCGTCCGCCCGAGCCCGGTCCCAGGCGGGCCTCCTCCTGCGCCTCTTCCTCCTCCTCCGCCTCCTCCTCCTCCATCCCAATATCAGTCTCTATCTCCGTCTCCTCCCTTCGCTCCGCCCTCCTCCTCCTCATCATCCTTCGCATCCGCCTCATCACCATCATCAAACTCATCATCAGTATCAGCATCAGCGTCATCACCATCATCAACAGCAGCATCATCATAATCATCATCGTCAGCATCAGCATCATCAGCATCAGCATTATCATCATCATCATCCTCATCAGTATCATCATCAACATCGTCAGTATCGGCATCATCATCAGCAGCAGCATCATCATAATCAGCATCATCATCGGCATCATGATCGACAGCATCAACAGCATGATAACCATGATAATAATCAGAATCGGCATCCTCATCATCAGCATCAGCAGCAGCATCAGCAGCAGCCTCATCAGCAGCAGCATCAGCATCAGAATCAGTATCGGCATCAGTATCAGCATCATCACCATCAGCATCATCATTCGCAGCATCATCATCATCATCATCATCATCATCATCATCATCATCAGCATCAAAAGCAGAATCAACAACAACAGCAGCACCATCATCAGCATCAGCATCGGCATCATCAACAACAGCAGCAGTATCGGCAGCAGCAGCATCGGCATCAACATCATCATCAGCAGCAGCATCAGCATTAGCATTATCAGCATCAGCATCATCATCATCATCATCATCATCATCATCATCATCATCCTCATCATCATCATCATCATCATCATCATCAGCGTCATCATCAGCACTATCATCGCCATCAGCATCACCATGATCAGTCACCATCAGCATCATCAGCAGCTTCAGCATCAGCATCATCATCATCAGCCTCATCAGCATCATCAGCAGCATCAGCATCATCATCAGCATCAGCATCATCATCATCAGCATCAGCATCATCGTCATCAGCATCATCATCAGCAGCAGAATCATCATCATCAGCATCATCAGCATCATCGTCATCACCATCCTCATCCGCAGCATAATGATTACCATCAGCAGCAGCATAATCTTCCGCATCAGCATCAACAGCAGCAACTTCTTTAGAAGGCAGAAAATCCACCCCGATAATAACCACCCCGACACGCGAAGCCGCTTAGTAAACGCACACAAATAAGGAATCAAACAGGGCAGGGCTGTTCAGTAAACGCCCAGGGCCGTTTAGTAAACGCCAATTGGCCGGTCTGGGTGGTCTTTCCTCCCGTGATTCCTCATCATCAGCATGATCATCAGCATCAGCGTCATCATCATCACCACCAGTAGCATCATCATCAGCAGCATCACCAGCACCATAGACATCATCACCGTCAGCATCATCATCATCATCATCATCATCATCATCATCATCATCATCATCATCATCATCGTCATCGTCATCGTCATCGTAATCATCATAATCATCAGCATCATCAGCATAGACATCAGCATCATCAGCAGCATCACCAGCATCATCATCATCAGCATTAGTATCATCAGCATCAGCATCACGATCATCCTCGTCGTACTCACCAGCGCCATCATCATCAGCATCAGCAACATCATCAGCATCATCATCAGCATCAGCATCAGCATCAGCATCATCACAGCCATCAGCAATCATCATCAGAATCAGCAGCAGCATCATCATCAGCAGCAGCATCAGCTTCATCATCATCTTACTCATCAGCACCATCATCGTCATTATCATCATCATCATCATCATCATCAGCAGCAGCAGCAGCAGCAGCAGCATCAACATTAGCAACAGCATCCTCCTTCCATTCCTCCTCCTCCTCCTCCTCCTCCTGGACCTCCGCCTCCTCCTCCTCCTCCTCCTCCGCCTCCTTCGTCATCCTCCCCATCATTTTCAGCCATTTCCATCTCCATCTCAAAATCCATCTCCTCCCGTTTGTCTTCTTCCTCCTTCTCCTCATCCTCCTCTTCCTCCTCCTCCTCATCCTCCTCCTCATCAATGTCCTCCTCATCATCCTCCCCCCCCCCTCCTCCTCCTCCTCCTCCTCCTCCTCCTCCTCCTCCTCCTCCTCCTCCTCCTCCTCCTCCTCCTCCTACCCCTCCTCCTCCTCCTCCTCGTCCTCCCTTCTCCTCGCCGCCCCTCTTTAGGACCTGAACGCATCGGCTTCTGTGCTCGACGTGTTGCCGAGCCGCTTCGCCTCCCGAGCGGCGAGGCCGAGCAACTTCGCAGCGCCCAGCTCCTAAGGGATAAGAATGGGGAGAATGGGGTAAGAGGATCGAGGGTAAGAATGGGGTAAGAGGATCGAGCCATCGACCGAGGTGCTGGGCTGAGTTCGGGGCTACTCTGGGGGAGGGGGAGGAAGAGGAGGAGGAGGAGGAGGAGAAGGAGGAGGAGGAGGAGGACCAATGCAAAAACCCAAGACGCACCGACGATGGTGCAATGAACCCTTCCGCAAAGTGCCCTCTTCAGATGTCCCTACCAAAATTGATTTCCGTTGCGGGGAATGCCCCATTTGAAGACGAACTTTTGAGAATGATCAACCGTGCCAAAGCACCATTCCTGAGACTTCAACGCCGCGAATCAATGTGACTGTTGCGCCCTGGCGGTCCTCAACCATGCCAGAGCACTATCATTGGGACTTCAGCACCGCGAGTCAACTTGATTGTTGCATCCCGACCGTCCAAAGCCGTGCCAGAACATCATCCCTGAGGCTTCGACCATCGAGTCTCGAAGCTGTTGCAAGCTTATGCAACGAATGTGCGCAGCAGTAAGTCGAGAGCCACAGTTTGAAAATGACCCGCCCTCTATCCTTGAAATTGTTATACACTTTGAAGACGAGTGTGCGCGGCGCCAAGACGAAAACCACATGTTGGAAACGACCCGCCACACTCCCGTGCAACATCGGCAAACGTTTAAAACTGCGCGGCTGTAATGAACCACATGTTGAAAGATACCCACCCTCAATCCGTGAAACTGTTGCAACGTGTAAGCTTCAGCATCCTGAATGGTGAAGAAGCCTCGGGCGAAACGCCCAGCCCGCCCTACCGACACGTCTCTCTCGGGGTACCACAGGGGGGAATTGATAAGGTAAAGGTGTTCATGGCGAGGAGGATCAGGGCGGGGAAGGGGAGGGAAGGAGGACGACGAGGAGCAGGGGGAGTAGAAAGAAGAGGGAGGAGCATGAGGACGAGGAGAAGACGCAGGGGGGAAGGAGAAGGAGAAGGAGAAGAGGAGGAGCAGGAGGGAAGGAGGAAGAGGAGGAAAGAAGGAAAGGACGAGGCGCGAGGAGGGAGGCGCGAGGAGGGAGAAGTGAGGGCGGGAGGGAGGGAGGAGGATAAGTGGGCACTCGAGGAGTTGTTGGGAACAGAGGCTGTCCAGGGAAGTGCGGCGAGCACCAGCTCCCCCGAGGCCAACCGAGCTGCCACAGCATGGTCAGACACTGGTTTTGAGCGACTCCAGAAACCGCGCCACCCTACTCAGTGCCTGTAGTGGTCTAAAGGTTGTTCTGGCCAAACCTGATGTGGTGACCGTGTCGCGCCGCGCGCTCCAGTGCGAGCTCAGTGGCACCGCACTCGCGCTGGCGCGCCCAGAACTCGGCCACGCTTCGGGCGCTTGCCCAGGGCCGCCGCAGCGTGGCCGCGCACGGGTTGGCCACTCGGCTCGGGGTCCCTGCTCGGCCCACTGCCGGCGGACTGTGGGGAATACAGGATCAGCTCTGCCCAGAGCTGGCGCCGAACAAAAACTAGGGCCCGAAAAAACAAAGAAAAACATGTGGCCGACACCACTTGGAGAATCGAGAATGCGGAGGGGGGGAACAAAAATCTGCTCGGCCCCAAAAATATGGTCGGCCACACTTCGTGCCGGTCCCAGAACAAAGTTCAGCCCCAATTACAAAACAATGTGTCCGGCCCCAACATATGTTTCGAACCTTACCCACTCGGGGCAGCACCTTTTTCGATCAGCGACCCTGTGCGCAACACCAGGGCGTTCCAATCCGAGCGAAGCAAAGGAAAGCGAGGAGGAGACCCACCAGGCTGCGCCTTGACCAGACATCTGACACCAAACAAAGTTCGCGCATCGACCATCCAGCGAACCGGAGGCCCCCAAGAGGCGTCCAAGAAAGGCCCGAAAGGTAGAGCTAAGTACTCGAAAGAAATGGATGGAAAATCGGCGATGTAATCCGAAATATTATGCGAAGTACTCCGCGGGAGCGGTTTTTGGCAGATGTATTGGCGGGGGGGGAGGGGAGTCGCGCGGGCCCCGTTCGTGGGGGCCGCGGGCGTTTTTGGATGGCCCTAAGGGGGGGGGGGCCGACGGGTGTTTTTGGATGGCCCTGGGGACCCCCAGGGACATCCCAAAACTGTCGTCCTTAGAGGAAAGAGAACTATGCACATACACCGACTCTGGCCAGGCCAATCCTGAGCCCAGGATCGGTGCATACGCCCTCCTACCTTGGCCAGGAAGGCATATGCACCGATCCTGGGTCAAGGATGGGCCTTGCCAGGATCGGTGCATGTGCATAGTTCCCTTCGCCCGACCTGGGGACCCCCAGGGACATCCCAAAACGGTCGTCCTGGCATGGCATGGCGTGCCCGGTCTGGGCGAGAGGTGTGTGTCCGCGAAGCCGCACCGCCAACCCCTATTCGGTCATCTTTCGACCTCGGATGCCCGCGGTCCGCTTGCGTATCCAATGACAATGGCTGGACGTTCCCCGCAGGCGACCTGACGCAGCCATTTTCTGCTAAACCAAAAACGTTTTGAGCCCGCACGACGCCGCTGTTAACGGCAAGCTGTTTTCGGCAAGGCAACAAGCAGCGTCGTACCTCATGTTATCCGGCTGCCTACGGCACGTCCCGCCACCGCAAACAGCTTCTCCCGCAGGCGCTAAGAGGGCTGACACGCCCGCGGGTCGCCGCGCCATCCAAGGAGCGGGTCGTCGGGGGTGCTGCGGTCCCGAGTCGATGTCCGGCGGGGGGCCCCAAAAGCCACGCATACCGAACAACATTCCGTGTTTTTCTCTCGACCATCCTGCGGGGCCGGGTCCTCGTTGTGAAGAGACAGCGCCCGGCGTCCCTCACAACTCCTCCTCCCCCTACTCCCTCCTCCAATCTCTGCTTTCCGCATGTCAACCATGTCCGTACACTCCTCACACGCTTCGTAGCCCCATAGGGAGCTCTCCCGAAGGCCCCAGTGGCACGCGAGCGCAAGGAGGCAAAGCCCCCTGTGCGCGCAGCGAGGAGGACAGAGGGGGGAGATCAAGCGAAAGAGCGGCGGGAAGCTTCGAAAGAAGAGGAAGTGGGGGGACAGCTCCCCCCCGCTCGGCCGCCATCGCCCATCGCCCACCCTACACCCCCCTTGAGGAGGACAGAACTCTCCAGTTGTGGGATTGTACCACCACGCGTGAACATCGCGCATATTCACGGACTGGGTGACGCGACGTAGCGGTGGCCCGACTTCGTCCCGATGGCTTTGAATCGTGGAACGCGTCGCAAGTTGAACACACCGTGGAGATCGCACGTAGACTGGGTGAGAAGACCGGACCGTCCCCAGCAGCCGCTCATCAAGTCTCAGAAAGCGAAACGACAAATAGGAGCTGGCCGCGTGCCTTTCTGCTCTTGGTCAGCGCTGACAAAATATGCGTTGTCGTCGTGAGGGTGTCAGCTGATATATTGACATAGTTGATGCGTTTTCCAGCTCAAGAAGCACTTGCATCGTGCAGTACTGATGAAACTCTACAAGACCTCTGCGAGAGACTCCGGCGCTCCAACTCACGTGGAATCAAAATCAGGGAACCGCAATGATCCGTCGTCCACTGCGGGGTCTTGCGAGAATCGGATCGCGAAAAACAAAAAAACAAAACATAACACCACCGCGACCGCTATGTCCAGGGCGAGGCCTTCGAAAAGCATCAGGCACAGGGAAACATGTGGATCGTGCATGGTACGTCAAAGCCTACTGCGGTTCATTCTCCATGGCCTCAGGCTCGCTCTTGATAAAGTAGCCGCGCTATCGCCGTCCTCCATTCGGACGCCGTCGCTCCAAATCTTCAGATATCACAGCATCGCCACTGCAACATTGATTCAGCGTATTCGTGTACGTAGTGGTAACGATGAACTCGAACCTGCTATTCTGCTGCAGAACTATTGGTGGCGTGTTTGTCATGCTCGTGCGGCTCATCACTGACTTGCAAAAGTAATCGTGTCCAGCAGAAGTGGGAATGCTGAGGACGAGCAAGAGGACAAGACGACGACACATTCAACAGGGACGACGCCACCGCGGTGGCCTCGGCCCTAATCGTCGTCGCCATCCTCCTCCCTCTTGTCAGGCCGCCCACGACTGGCCCCGCCCACCCAGTCCCTCATGTCGCTGTCCCCCTCACATTCCCCAGAAGGAGGGGCGGGGGCGAGGAGGAAGACGAGGACGAAGGACGAGGAAGACGCCCGACAACCACGATGACCACCACGAACACTGCGACGACCACCACGAGGCAATACGGCCCCCCTCCTCGTTTTCCCCCCATGCCGCCCCCCCACCTCACCTCGTCGTCCCCATCCTCCTCCTCATCCTCATCCTGCTCCTCCTCGACGTCCGTCTGCTCCTCCGCCTCCTCCTCCTCCTGGTCGCTCTTGTCGTCGTCGTCGGCGGCGGCGGTCGTCGTCAGCGGCGGGCCTTGTCTCCCGCGGGGCACCTGTACACCGGCAGCAGCCCGGAGCCCGCTGCGGGAGTCCCGACGCCCAGCTCCGCGGCCTGGTCGAGCAGGAAAGCGGCGCCGCCGTCCACCACCACTCCCTTTCCAAAGGGGGGGGGGGCAGGCAGAAAAAGACCAGGAATCGAGCGTTCGTGCAGATCCACCTCCCCCCCTCATCCCTCGCCCCACCTCCTCTGATTGCTTCTTGGATTTTCAGACTCTAAGAATCTAGGTTGGCCGTCCACAGCAAATCCCTCTACAGGGGGGAGGGCGACAAGACAGGGCGAGGGCCCAAATCTCCGACGATTTGATGTGTTTGCTTTTGTCCGGGCGTATTTCAGCGAACTCAGCCATCAGGGGCCGCCTTCGGGCCGCAGGGCCATCAAAAACGGATCTGGGACGGGAAATCACCCCTGGGGAAGCGGTCGGGAGTTCTGGGGCCACGGGTCGAAAGAATCAGATCGGCGGATGTCAGGGTACCAGGAGACTGGCACTTGCGCAGGTCCACCTCCCCCTCATCCCTCCCCCCCTCCTCTGACTGCTGCCCATTCCCACTCAGGGGGGGATGGGGAGGAGATAAGCGTCCACCAAATTGTAGATAAATTTCTGGCAACGCCTGCTTTGCTCGAGGAGGAGCGAGACGAACCGGCAGAGTCCTCCTCCTTCGGAGGACAGGGCAGGGACGGACGCCGACACCGCGGGGAGCGCATCCTGTGAAGGAGGGCAGACCCTCACAAATGCCACAGGATTTTGTCAGCAAGACGCCTTCGCGGACCGTGTGGCCGCTGCTTCGCAGCGCTCTCGCTGACTTTCAGGTCTACTCCTCCTGCTCCTCCTCCTCCTCCTC